ATGACGGTTCTATCCCCTCCACGATAAACTAGCGAACACTAAACACAAATTTCACAAGTCTTACCTCAGACTTACTTACCATGGTGATGGCTGCTGCCACACGCCCCACCACCCACAATGTACAATCGTCTACAAAATATAAATGTAAAACTTACAAAAAATTTAAAATTCTGCCTCAATTTTAAATCAGGAATTAAATTACCGTTTCATCGCATTTTTCCATAATTAATTACAACTTGAAAATTGACAGTTTCTTTTTCTTTAAAAATTGTTTTGTCAAATTGTATTCAGTTACATTGGATATACTAAGATATCTAATGATATCTTAGATGTTAAATACTGTTGCCTGCAGGGTGTAATAGCTTGGTCGATCATCAGTCCCAGGTCACAGGGGTGTAAACCCTCCTCTGAACGTACATTTGGATACATGTTTGGTACACGATATTAACAAAAATAAACCCTTTAGGATCTCAAATAGTCTAGACCAAAATATATTAGAATTGTGTACCCAGTTAGGTGAGCCATGGAAGCATAGGTTCGAATCCTGGTGGGGGTCATAGAGTTTATTATAATTTACAGCGTAGGGACTATTCAAGCTCTCTCTCCATATATATATATATATATATATATATATATATATATATATATATATATATATATATATATATATATGCATCTACTGAAAGACTTACAATAACACAGATAAGGAAAATAATTGTCTATTTAAGTCCTTATGTTGTTTATAATTTCATATAGTCTTTTGTGCTAAAATTATATTACAGTAACATTTTCAGTACATGCGAAAGCGGTCAATATTTACACATATTTACATCAGAATGACGATCAAAACATCGATACACGTTAAAGAAAGAACACCTTTAAAAACTTTCTAATGAATGATTAATAACGCACAATAATATTGAATATAAATATATTAGTCGTTTATTGATTCAGTTAAAAAGTATAGAAAATGTGCAGTTTTAGCTTGTGAGCTCTGAACTAAACTTCAAAAATTAAAAAGAAAATACTTTATTAATAATAATAATAATTACGATTATTTAACATTGTATTTTATATGAACTATTCATCTTCGATTTTTGTGAAAAGATAAATTAACTTTAATAATTAATACACAATTTTGTGCAACGAAAAACTCATCGACGGTATCGGGGATTTTTAAATGGCCAATTTTTGTATTGATAATTAAAAATAAATTACTAATATTTAATTAGGGGGGTTCACCCTGACATCTGTATATATATATATATATATATATATATATATATATATATATATATATATATATATATATATATATATATATATATATATATATATATTAGTATATTTTGGTAGCAGTCTTTCCTGTAGACATATATTATTAAATATGACCGAAAAAGTAAGATTAATAATTCTAACACGAATTTTCTCAATCTTTCGTACATTACGCTTCACTGTTGGAGGTAAATCAAAAATCACTTCTCCAAAATTCATTTTTATTTCTAGTCTGACGCGACACGGGCGCGTTTCGTAAAACTTATTACATTTTCAAAGACTTCACAGTTGTGTATTTGTGAAGTCTTTGAAAATGTAATAAGTTTTACGAAACGCGCCCGTGTCGCGTCAGACTAGAAATAAAAATGAATTTTGGAGAAGTGATTTTTGATTTACCTCCAACAGTAAAGCGTAATGTACGAAAGATTGAGAAAATTCGTGTTAGAATTATTAATCTTACTTTTTCGGTCATATTTAATAATATATATATATATATATATATATATATATATATATATATATATATATATATATATATATATATATATATATATATATATATATATATGTCGTACCTAGTAGCCAGAATGCACTTCTCAGCCTACTATGCAAGGCCTGATTTGCCTAATAAGCCAAGTTTTCATGAATTAATTGTTTTTCGGCTACCTAATCTACCTAACCTAACCTATCCTAACTTTTTCATCCACCTAACCTAACCTATTAAGATAGGTTAGGTTAGGTTAGGTTAGGTAGGGTTGGTTAGGTTCGGTCATATATATACGTTAATTTTAACTCAAATAAAAAAAATTGACCTCATACGTAATGAAATGGGTAGCTTTATCATTTCATAAGAAAAAAATTAGAGAAAATATATTAATTCATGAAAACTTGGCTTATTAGGCAAATCAGGCTTTGCATAGTAGGCTGAGAAGTGCGTTCTGGTTACTAGGTACGACATATGTATATATATGTATATATATATATATATATATATATATATATATATATATATATATATATATATATATATATATTGCATGTTGCATTCGTTTTCCAAACTCTATATGTATTGCAGATTTTACACATGCATGGAAGATATTTTTAATGAATTGCAGATGTTGTGTAAACATTGATGATATTTTCTGTGCACGTTCGATATTAAGTTTATTCTTACCCAGTTTGTCATGTGTGTTTACGATGCATTGTTTGTAGTGAAGGGAGTGTGTTAGGTTATTGATGATCAATTGAGTGGGGGCGCTGAGGGGTGTATTGTGTGTGTGTGTGTGTGTGTGTGTGGGTGTGTGTGTGTGTGTGTGTGTGTGTGTGTACTCACCTATTTGTGCTTGCGGGGGTTGAGCTCTGGCTCTTTGGTCCCGCATCTCAACTGTCAATCAACTGGTGTACAGATTCCTGAGCCTACTGGGCTCTATCATATCTACATTTGAAACTGTGTATGGAGTCAGCCTCCACCACATCACTGCCTAATGCATCCATCAGTTAACTACTCTGACAGTGTGTGTGTGTGTATGGTGTGTGTGTGGTGTGTGTGTGTGTGTGTATGGTGTGTGTGTGGTGTGTGTGTGTGCGGTGTGTGTGTGTGTGTGTGTGTGTGTGCGCGCGCGTGCGCGCGTGTGCGTTCTGTTATGGAACAAACTACAGTGTACAGACAACAGACCCTGGCGTAAAAATTACGGCTTTCTAGATCAATTGAAACCACCGCAATATTGACGCTTCAAAGAACTGATAATTATCGGACCCGATTGATCAGGTGGATAGCCTAAGTTCTGACGTTTCTGATCAGGCTAAACCACTGCATTTTTTACGTGGGAGAAAACAAGATTAACGGCATCAAGTTTGAGAACAGGGGATCATATTACATCGCAATTTTGACGTTATCGACTAAAACGTCCAAAAACCGGATGCTTAAATAAAAGTCAATGCGCAGCAAAGATACCAGCTTGAAGCTTTGATCAGAATTAAGCTTAAACAGCCCAAGGCGCCCACAAATGTGAAATGAGATTATCGACGTTTCGGTCTATTCTGAATCCTTGTCAGGTCGTGACGAGACGTAATGAGTGGTCTAAGACTGACCGAAACGTCGTCGAACTCCAGGTAGGAGAGTAACCTACACCGTAAGAGTAATCTACCTCCTTAGCGTGTGCTACGACCTGATTCGTCTTTTTCGATAGAGAGAGACAGGGTGAGAGAGACAGAGAGAGGAAGAAGGTGGACGGTAAGGCAGGATACAGACAGACACCCCTGGACACCGCAGGGTGATCCTATCTAGTAAGCTCTAAATCCTAGTAAAATATACTTTATTTCCCTATGAACTAGAACCCTACAAAACCGTTATCACAAACTTGTATGAACCCAGTTCATTATATAAATACAAATCAAATCAATAAATAGCATAAGAATGAAAGCTAAAACTTGTATACATGTTTAAAAATTCATATTATGCAAAATCATATATCATGTATAATGACTTCGATACATAAGGTAGAATTTGTATTAAAAGGCTCTTGCATATACATATTGTTTTCATTTTCACTGTCTCATATATTTCATGCGCATAAAAACAATTTTTATTAGAAAATATTTGAAAAATCCCTCAAATTTCCAGTCTGTAAGTATTATAAAATCTGAGGGTAGAATTTTTCAGCTATTTAAATGGCCAGGCCATATATATATATATATATATATATATATATATATATATATATATATATATATATATATATATATATATATATATATATATATATATATATATATATATATATATATATATATATCGTTTTGTATCTTTTTTAGTCTGTAGCTACATGGGAATAATTACGAGAGTAATTTTGTACCAAATACCATCATGGTCTAGCCGGTAGTGCGTATGTGCCTTTGAAGTCCCAGAAGTGCAGGTTCGTTCCCTTTGCATGACCTCAATATTTCCACCAGAAATAAGTATATCAAATTACTCTCTAATTAATATTAGTAACTTATTTCTTTGACAAGAAATAAATAGTCAGTTATTTATCAAAACTTGAAATATGTATAAAAATATAAAAGTCTTAGCTTTGAATTTTTTGTCTTGTATTTTGCACAATATCAGGAAATAAATTACCTCCTACAGCTGTTGTTGAAAAGACACCTGGGGTGATTTTGATAATGATAACATGAGGTGAATTGTGTTAATCATTATATTAAGCGCTTATAGTCATCGTAAGTGCTGTTAATTTATATGCAGGTATAAGTTTTGATAAGTTTGTTTAAGCTTTGTAAGTATCGATGATTTTTGCGGGCTTTGATAATTTATATAAGTCAATAATTATACAAAATAAAAAGAATGGCTAAGCCCTGATAATATCTATTAGCTTTGGTATAATATTTTCAAGGAAATATAATTTTTCATAATTTTTCAGAAATATATATATATATTATCTTTAATCATATAATCATTTCAATCATTCGTACTTCAACTTACTTTATGACATATAAAGCTTAATCCTTTTGTTATTCACCATTGATTTGAAGTCGAGCTACAAAGCTTTACATGATTATAGCTTGTATTTTAATTTTACTTATTATTTTTTTTCAGGGAAAAGCTAGATTGATATTTTTGATCAAAACTAAATTTTGTCAAGTTCATCTTATGAACAATGAGATCACATCACTGATATGGCGGGAGCAGTCATGCGGCCCAAAATACAATAGGTGTAAATGAAACTAACTTTGTATGAAAAGCCTGGTATATATATATTATGCGCTTGTTACAATGTTAAATATTATTATCAAGATATACACAACGGCCTGTCGTAGAGGTACAATATGATCTGCCATTATACGCACATAGGAAAGTCCTATGCGTACATGAAGTTGTCTATACGTACGTAGCTGAAGGCGCATGCATATCTTGGCACGTACACAGGGGGAGAGGGGGGTGGGTGGGGGGGATTAGCTGTGCTGAAATTGTTCTTGTTCTTAACGCACTGGATAGCGTGTTCTTCCCCCCCAGATCTCTGTCACACGTGTTTGTAAGAGGTAGGTGGGCATGGGGCACCCACCCTTTCGCGATCTCAACTGGGCGGGCATTGGGGCCCCACCCAACACATCAACTGATCACGGCGTGGGCGGGCATGGGCGTCCCGTTCTAAACGACCCTTCACATCAACTGCCCTCTTTGGTTTCACTAGCTTGGTGAACGAACGTGCCGCCCGCCAAGAGTCATCAGCTCTGCCGCCCACGCCCACACCCGCTGTCAGCGGGCGGTGTGGGCGTGGCGCTCTTCTTTGCGTTGAGTTAGTCCTGTCGTCTTCAATATTTGGCGGTGTCGTCGTAGTAGGCTGGGTACTTGTAGGAGGCGCGGAAGCCCAGTTGACACGAAGGATTCGTCAACAGACGCTGGGATTCGAACATGTCCCGAACGTTCGGAAAACCGGAGTCTGCCCCTCCGGCGCCAGTACCGGTTGTCTCCAGGGGTTGAGAGTACCAGGAGGAGTGCGACCGGGAGTAAGCCGCAGCCGCCGCCGCAGCTTGCATACTCATGCCGCCCACTACGGGCGTGCTGCCGTTCATGGCCGCACTGCCGCAGGCGGTCATCTCGTCGGCTGCGGCAGTGGGAAACACCGCAGGCGCCCGGGCGTCGCTGTACTGGCAATAACTCACTGTGTCGTAGTACATATTGGAGCGATATTGCTGTGCTTCCGTGAGGAGAGCCCCCGGGCTGGCCTCCCGCACATCACGCGACCCCGGCACGAGGTTATCCACACTGAACGATGACCCCACATCCAGATATGACCCCTCGTGACCCCCGGCGCCCGAGGGGGCGGGCAGGGTGTTGGGGGGAAGGTGGCCGTGGGCGTGTAAGGGCGGCGTGTGGTTGTGTAGGGGCGGCGTGTGGGTGTGGGCGTGCAGAGGCGGCGTATGTGTGACAGTCTTGACTTCAGGAAGACAGGCTGGGGGAAGATCGGGGGAGTCCTGGGGCTCTGTTTTGGGCTGACAGAGGGGGGAGATGGGGGTGCCGCCCCCCACCTGCACCCCATCCCCCTCCTGTTGACCTGTTACTACTGACCGTGGTTGCTGCGACTGCTGCTGCTGCTGCTGCGCCGCCTGCGGCTGCTGCGGAGGCTGCGGCGGAATACCTACAGCAGTACCATCGGGCTGCTGTTGTCGCTGATCCTCAGAGCCCGTGGGCGTCTGCTGTTGCTGCTGCTGCTGCTGCTGTTGCTGTTCTTGTTGCCGCTTCAACACATCATCCTTCTCGCGAGTCAATCCTGCGTCCTTCTTCTTAAACCGCTTGCGGCGCCGCAGGTACGATCCGTTGTCGAACATATTGCGGGCCTCAGGATCCAGGGTCCAATAGGAGCCCTTACCGGGCTTCTTATCATCCCTGGGGATCTTAACGAAGCACTCGTTAAGACTCAAATTGTGCCTGATAGAGTTCTGCCACCCCTGCTTGTTCTCCCGGTAATAGGGGAACCGCTCCATGATAAATTGGTAGATGCCGTTAAGGGTCACTCGCTGGTCCGGGTTGTTCTGGATGGCCATGGTGATTAGAGCGATGTAGGAATATGGGGGTTTCACCATGTCCTTTGGAGGGGGGTGTTGCTGGGGACTGTAGCCGTAGGGGTGGTAGCGCCCCATGGCGCTGTAGCCGTCGTAGCAATAGGCGTTGGGTCCCATTGTTGACATCTGTTGCAGCGCCGCCGGCGGGTAGGTAGCCGCTGCATGGCGGTAATATGACTGCTGGTCGCCAAATAGAGTGTGCATTTTAACGGGGTAAGCTGACCATTGATCACACATGGTTACACAGCATTATGGGGTCTACCGTGAGGTAGACTCGGGTTTACCTCCGGGTGAAGAGGCACAGACAAGCGGCCACCCCCTAGGGGCGGACGGACGGGAGGGCGGTGGTGACGGGTGTTCGTGCTGCTGCTGTGAGCGGTGATGCGGGGCGGTGGAGGGGCACAGAAACACCGTTCGACACCCAGGCTGCTCCACCACACACCACAAACACACACCCACACACTGTTCGATAATGTTCACTTCCCCCCCCCCGGCCACACACCGCTGTCAACTTAGACGGCAGACAGAAGCGCCCGCGACACTATACTGTCAAGTTAGCGGAAGTGTATGCGGGCGGAGGTGGGCGGGTAGGAGTGGGCGGGCGGAGATGGGCGGCCAGGAGTAATCCTCGGTACGGGCGTAGCTGTCTAACGGCGCTGTCTACGTGATGTAATCCCGTCTTTTCTGTCCCTTGATCTTGACCGTCACTGGCACGATGTCTAAGTTCCGTTCACAAATCAGGACAAATTCGTCACCTTCCTCGAGGGCAAAATTCTTGGCTCGTCGCTTGATTAAAATTGTGAAAACACATCGACAGTCTTTTTCTTATGATTCCAACAATGCTTAAGCAAACAGTAGTGTTGCTACTCTAAACACCGCAAGAATTAGTCGTGGCTGCTAAGTCAACAAACGGCCGCCACCGCACCGAGTTACTCTCTGGTTCCGCTCCAAAGGCCGACTGAACTATCTTAAAGTCTAGGAAAATTTACTTTAAGCCAACAGTTTAATCCTTCGCCATGTTATATTTAGGCTCCGCCCACGAGCCTCTCGACCAACCAGCGCGCAGCTGCCTCGCCCTCTTGCCAATGAGTGGCCGCCTATTGTCGGCGACGACCAATTCCCACGCGGTTTTCGTGAGTTATGTGTCGAGACTCCGCCCATTGATATCATATGATTGGTAACCGAGGGGAGCAAATTACTGGCCCTGCCCCTCGCAATTTTCCCCCTTTAATCTGAGGGGACAATTCCCAAGACTCAGAGGGTAATTTGGTGCCAACACTTCTAACCCCTCTGCCAGAGACGATAATCCAGCCTAAAGAGATTAGCTCCAGCTCAATAAAAGTTATCCAAACACGGTGGCTTGGGGAGGGGGGGATGGGGGGAGAGAAGGGAGGGGAGGAGAGGGGAATGGGAGACTGAGAAAACACACCGGGCCCCCAAAACAGGTTTACACTGCGGTTTTGACAAATCCACCGTAATAAAGTCCTACCTGGCCCCGTTGGGGCTAACGGAAGACCTGGCCATGATCACATCCAGTCTTGAACTAGTAGTGTTGGTGGGCGTGCTGGATGGGCTTCAAGCCGAGCCGAGGACTTCACGTACAATTCCTGAAAATCGTAGGGAACAACAATCCTGGAATCCATTGGGAAGCACAAGAGTTTCTTAAAAAAAAAATGGAATAAAAACAAAATAAAAGAACGAAATACCTCACTAAACTCAAGGATCGAAACGACACGTCAAGGGAGTCTTCAAAGAACCATAAAGACTCAGCGAAATTCTCCCAAAAATGCCAGGAGCCCCGTCAATAAATATAGGCTTCCAGGAGTGGGTTCCAGGCGGCCATGGAGGAAGCTCCGCCCCTTCCAGCAGGAGGCGAGCCAGGCTAGTCAGCCAACTGGTAACGCCTCCTTCGTCCCCACCACACAACGCGCTTCGCCTATCCCTTCCTCAGGTTAGTGAGCTTAGCAAGAGATCCCTAGAAACATCGGTAATTACAACTCATTTATAGGCGCTTATTGCTTCATAGCATCTCACTAGCGCCCCCTTGTGGCCGGGATGTTGTAAAGTGTTATTTTGGTTTTAAACGCATCGTGGGGTTTGTTGTGTAAGGCAAGTAGTATAGTTACCGGCTGTTTGTTGTGCTAATTCTCTGTAGAGGTAAATGAGTGCTGCTGGCGGTTTGTTGTAATAATTATCCATAGTGTTAAATTAGTACAGGCAGTTTTGACAATAATTTTCCACAGAGGTAATTAAGTGATATCTATTTATTCAGATAATTGCCCAAACAGGTCGATAATTACTGGCTGTTAGTTGTGTTAATGACTCCTAATAACGAACGAACCATATATTGACAGTTTTAAAACTCTCGAAGAAGTTCAAACTATTGGGAAAACGATAATTACTTACAAATACAATTACTTACATATACAAGCTACCGGCCCGTCACCAGGGCCCGCGACTATGACGATAAACATAGTTTTGAATTTAAAGAACTTTATTTTGTAAATATAAAAATGCGTGGATTAGTTAGATTCAATTAATTAATATGTTTTATATGAGATTGGGTGTTTAATGCTGATTTATAGCCTCAAGAAAAAACAAATGCTATATTATAATATATATATATATATATATATATATATATATATATATATATATATATATATATATATATATATATATATATATATATATATATATATATATATATATATATATATATATATATATATATATATATATATATATATATATATATATATATATATATATATATATATACATATATACATATATATATATATATATATATACATATATATATATATATATATATATATATATATATATATATACATATATATATATATACATATATATATATATATATATATATATACATATATATATATATATATATACATATATACATATATATATATATATATATATATATATATATATATATATATATATATATATATATATATATATATATATATATATATATACATATATATATATATATATACATATATATATATATATACATATATACATATATATATATATATATATATATATATATATATATATATATATATATATATAATCAATAAACATAAAGAACTCACTCGGATGATTTAAGGTGATATAAAACATTACTGGTATACTAGTATTTAGAACCCCCTGTACTTGTGCTGGTAGGGCAGTGTGGCTTCTAAATAGTTACCCCAGGGTAATGTACCCCAGGGTAATGTACCCCAGGGTAATGTACCCCAGGATACTGTACCCCAAGGGTAATGTACCCCAGGGTAGTGTACCCCAAGGGTAATGTACCCCAGGGTAATGTACCCCAGGATACTGTACCCCAAGGGTAATGTACCCCAGGGTAGTGTACCCCAAGGGTAATGTACCCCAGGGTAATGTACCCCAGGATACTGTACCCCAAGGGTAATGTACCCCCAGGGTAATGTACCCCCAGGGTAATGTTCCCCAGGGCAATGTACCCCAGGGTAATGTTCCCCAAGGTAATGTTCCCCAGGGTAATGTACCCCAGGGTAATGTACCCCCCCCCAGGATAATGTACCACCAGGGTAATGTATCCCAGGGTAATGTTCCCCAGGGTAATGTACCCCAGGGTAATGTACCCCAGGTAATGTATCCCAGGGTAATGTATCCCAGGGTAATGTATCCCAGGGTAATGTATCCCAGGGTAATGTTCCCCAGGGTAATGTACCCCAGGGTAATGTACCCCAGGGTAATGTACCCCCCCAGGGTAATGTACCAGCAGGGTAATGTATCCCAGGGTAATGTATCCCAGGGTAATGTACCACCAGGGTAATGTATCCCAGGGTAATGTACCCCCCAGGGTAATGTACCACCAGGGTAATGTATCCCAGGGTAATGTTCCCCAGGGTAATGTACCCCAGGGTAATGTACCCCAGGGTAATGTATCCCAGGGTAATGTACCCCCCGGGTAATGTATCCCAGGGTAATGTTCCCCAAGGTAATGTACCCCAGGGTAATGTATCCCAGGGTAATGTACCCCCCCAGGGTAATGTACCACCAGGGTAATGTATCCCAGGGTAATGTTCCCCAGGGTAATGTACCCCAGGGTAATGTACCCCAGGGTAATGTACCCCAGGTAATGTATCCCAGGGTAATGTATCCCAGGGTAATGTACCCCCAGGGTAATGTATCCCAGGGTAATGTTCCCCAGGGTAATGTACCCCAGGGTAATGTACCCCAGAGTAATGTACCTCAGGGTAGTGTACCCCAGGGTAATGTACCCCAGGTAATGTATCCCAGGGTAATGTATCCCAGGGTAATGTACCCCCAGGGTAATGTATCCCAGGGTAAAGTACCCCAGGGTAATGTACTTCAGGGTAGTGTACCCCAGGGTAATGTTCCCCAGGGTAATGTACCCCAGGGTAATGTACCCCCTGGGTAATGTACCCCAGGGTAATGTACCCCAGGGTAATGTACCCCCAGGGTAATGTACTTCAGGGAAGTGTACCCCAGGGTAATGTACCCCAGGGTAATGTACCCTAAAGTAATGTTCCCTAGGGTAATGTACCCCAGGGTAATGTACCCCCCGGTAATGTACCCCAGGGTAATGTACCCCAGGGTAATGTACCAGAGGGTAATGTACCCCCAGGGTAATGTACCCGAGGGTAATGTTCCCCAGGGTAATGTTCCCCAGGGTAATGTATCCCAGGGTAATGTTCCCCAAAGTAATGTTCTCCAGGGTAATGTACTTCAGGGAAGTGTACCCCAGGGTAATGTACCCCAGGGTAATGTACCCCAGGGTAATGTACCCCAGGGTAATGCACCCCAGAGTAATGTACCCCCAGGGTAATGTACCCCCCGGTAATGTACCCCAGGGTAATGTACCCCAGGGTAATGTACCCCCAGGGTAATGTACCCCCAGGGTAATGTACCGAGGGTAATGTACCCCCCAGGGTAATGTTCCTTAGGGTAATATACGCCAGGGTAATGTACCCCAAAGTAATGTTCCCCAGGGTAGTGTACCCCAGGGCAATGTTCCCCAGGGTACTGTACCCCCCAGGGTAATGTACCCCCCAGGGTAATGTACCCCCAGGGTAATGTACCCCAAGGTAATGTAGCCCAGGGTAATGTACCCCCCAGGGTAATGTGTTCGAACCTCTTCTGTAGGTTTTACTTGGCCATCACCATGAGGTCAATCCCGTAGGCTTGAGACGTTGCAAATGCTAGCAATTTGGGTTTGCAGGAGACTTGCAAGAAACATAAATCTCCTTAATGAAACTCTAAACACCATTTTTGTCTCGAGGTCGACGTCGGCAAGATGCTGTTCTCTCTCATAAACGGCTCCAACGAAGCAATCTCATAGATTCACCAAACAAGCCGCCTATCGTAAGATAAACAAGTTAAACTTGATCTCATTCACTCAAATCGTCGGAGATTCGAACTCGGGCCTCAAAAAGTACGAGATTGATGTCCTACCAAACCAAGCCTTTGGGGGCTCTCAGTAAGAAAGGACCTCAGAAGTATCTAACTGAGATTTTTAGCTTTCCCAGGGGCGCCGCTAAATTTTACATTAATATATTACTCAGCAATGATTATTTTTGGGGGTGGAGATTTATTTCAATAAATTTAAACTATAACTATTGGGAAGAAAATACAGAAGAGATGCTGGTTTGAGTGTATTTCATTAAGTTGACAAAACGCTTCTGTACCATTCTCTCCCTCAAAAATAATCTTTAGTAAACATTTGTTGTCATATGACTATCATATAATCTCATTTGCAATATTTGAGCAATTTTGATGATCGCATTATCCAAAATAAGCTCAGTTATGAAACTAATTATTACTATTAGTATTAGTATTTTTATTATTATTATTATTATTATCATTATTATTAATAATTTTTTATTGTTTTTATTTAAAAATTATTTTGAAGTTAGCAAGCTAGTACTGAACATTT